ACTGCTTTCCCGGGCCACAGGCAGGGAGCTGCATGGGAAGCGGGGCTGCCAGGATAGAACCGGCGCCCATATGGGATCCCGGGCATGCAAGGTGAGGACCTTAACCACTGCACCACCGCGCCAGGCCCTGGAATTAGCTTTTAACGGGTCTTAAAAAGGGTTTGTGCTTGAATCTTTATCAGACTTTTTTCTTCCTAGTGCAAATCTATGTGTTATAATATTCATCTCTGAATTCTCTAAGAACGACTACCCGCTTTACAGTAAGCCACTCATTTAATATAAGGCATTGTGCCAAGTACTGGGGACACACAGGGAGTAAGATGAAGTGAGTTCCTTGCCTCTTGGGGCTTGCATAATATATGTGCTGAGTCAATTTTTAGCTGCATTTTGGCTTAGCACAATATGGCCTTTTCTGGTTGAAGTAAAAGTCAGTTTAAGCAGTCTGGGAAGAAAACAGGATGCTAAGGTTTTACTTAGCCTACAATTGATACATGTTAATTTTGGAAAGGTCAAAATTTACAAATAAAGGAGAGTATCATTTACAAATAAAGGAAAGTATCGCTTGTAATCTTACCCTTTAGAAAGCGTGCACTTGGCTAGTGGTTAGGATGCCTGCATCCCATGTTGGAGCACCTGGCTTTGTCTTGGCTCAGGCTCCTAACTCCAGCTTCCTGCCCATGCAGACCCTGGGAGGTAGTGGTGATGCCTCAAGTAGGTGAATCCTAGTCTTCTTCCTGGGAAATTGCACTGAGTTCCAGGCTCTTGGCTTTGACCTGGCCCAGCCCAGCCATTATGACCACTTGGGAGTGTGCCAGCAAATGGGAAGTCTTCATTTGGGTCTCCTACATGATTTTATGCAGTTGTCCAAACCCTTGGGCCATATTCTACTGTTTTCCCAGATCATAGCAGGGAGCTGGACCTGAAGTGGAGAAGCCGGGATCTGAGCTGTTGGTCATAAAGAATGCTGGCAGCACACCAGACAACTTCACATGCTGTACCACAGCACAGGCCCCCAGTTTTTTTTTTTTTTGTTTTGTTTTTTTTTTTTTTTAAAGCTTGGCTAGAGAGGGAGAGAGAAGGAAGGAGGAAGAAAGAAAATGAGATTGCTTGCTTGCTTGCTTGATTGATTGATTCCATCTTCTGGCTTACTTCCCCAGTGGTTATAACTGCTGGGGCTGGGGTAGGCTAAAGCCAGGAGCCTGAAACTCCATCTGCATATTCCACATATGTGATCAGGACCTAAGTATTTGGGCCATCTTCAGTTACTTCCTCAGGCATATTTGCATGGAAGTGGATTAGAAACAGAGCAGACAGGACTTAAACTGAAACTCTGATATGGGATGCTAGCATCACAAATATTAGCTTAATGCACTGTGCTATAATATCAGCCTTATTATATACCTTTTTAAAACTTAAATATATTGTTTTTGTATGTCAACATACACAAAAATTTTCTACACTCACGTGATTTGGCACTCATAGAAAGCAGTTTATCTAATAATCTCATATTAGAACCTTGTTGCAAATTGTGTGCTACTCCAAACAAGGCCTCAGTTGAAAACCAGCGCACAAATTGTTTCTCATTGTTGTACCTCTATTATAGAACCGTGTTGAGAGACATTTTATCTGGTTGTTTATTTTTTGTGTACTGATCACTGGGTTCAAGTTTGGCTATCATACTCCAGTGTTTATAGAGCTCACCTTTATAGTAGTCTCTTTATATTGTCCCCAGCATTTCCCCCAGGTTTTGGCAACTATTGGTGTTTATTGTCTAGAGCCCTTATTTTTTAAGCAGTTGTAAAATGAGGTAGTCCAATTTTGTCATTCCTTCTGCATTTATCAGTTGGAATTCTTTTGTAAAAAAGAGGTTAGCTTCAGAGAATCAAGATGTCAGAATAGGGTAAGGACACATTTAAATGAACAGAGAAACATTAACCAGTGTGAAGCAGAGAGGGCACATTCCAGGAAATAGAAGATGATAGAACAACAGCAGAGGGGTACCTGGAGACTGACACAGGAAGGCAGCGAAAACAATGGTGTGTTGCAGTAACTGATACCCCAGCAGCATTCAGCGAATGGTGATCTGAACTGCACCATCAACCAGAACTCCACCAGCAACCAGATGGGAAGGGACATTTACCAGGAGCTCCGGAGGTGAACCCAGACAAAGAAACACCCATCCTGCTGGTCTGCTTGATTTGGCCAGGAGCAGAAATGGAGCAGCAGGTTTCAGACAGGTGGTGCAGGAACAGGTGGATTTCACAGCCCAGTCTTCCCGCCTAGAGCTGAATTAGGCGCCATTCTGTTTAAGGAGGCAAGGGCCATGGGGCAGGACTGTGCATGCACGGAGCTGGGAGTGATCTCATTTCTGACTCGGTGAACTACAGGTTGCAATCAAGACAGGTCTGGGTAGCACTCAGACCTGATGGCCAGCGGATCAAGAACTTTAGTAGTGGTATATCAGGTGCCATTTTGTACAGCATGGCAAAGAATTTAGGTTTTCAGTGAGCTGCACATGCGCTGAATTTGGCAAAAACTCATTGAACTCAGTGCATTGCACTGGTCCCACAGGAAAATAATACTGACTATGGCATTGTAATGGTCAAAATAGGTCCAGGTGGCTCTCAGACATAATAGCCAACAGGTTCCTTCAAGATTACCACCACCAACAAGCTAACTATATAGAACACCTGGCATCTCCCTAATCCTGGGACCTGCTCCAACCAGAAGTAGGAGAAAGGTTATACAGACTACGGTGCTGCCTCAGCACAGTGTCACAGGAGGTGGAGACTGGTGAGCCAGGAGCTGGGGCTACGGAGACCATGGTGGAAATCTAACATAAGAATCCAGACCTGAAACTCACTGGAGGGAGTGGCACAAGTGATTGCAAACAAAGAGCTGTGTGTGAACTGCAATAGGTAAAATTGAACTGTAGACCTGTGGGTGACACAGTTTAGAAACCTGCACCAAGGAGAAGGAGAATCTGATAACCAGAAGTACAACAACCAAGAGCAAAAGAAGAGCCAAGGGTACAATGAATATTAATGAAGACTCTCCTGCAAAGGAGCAAAAACCTTTTGCCAACCTCAGAGTTAACTGAGGAAGACATGGAGAAAATGGGAGATACAGAATTCAAAACACTTGTTACAAAGCTTCTTAACAATGAGAAGCATGTAAAGCAGGTGTTTAAGGAATTTAAGGAATATGTCACACTGGAAATGAATCAAATGAAAGTGATACATTAGAAATGAAGAATGCAGTGGAGTAAATGAAAAGTACAGTACAGGGTCTCCAAAATAGAATGAAGGAGGCAGAAGAATCTCAGAATTGGAAGATATTTCCTGTCACCAGTGGGAAACAAGCAAAAAGCTGGAAACAGAGCCGGATCAGGCCAAAACAAAGTATTCAAGAATTGAAAGACACCATTAAAAAGCCTAATGTAAGAGTTATGGGAGTCCCAGAAGGTACAGAAAGAGAAACTGGGATTAAAGATGTATTTAATGAAATAATAAGGGAAATTTTTCCTAAACTGGAGAAAGAAATGGCACACAACATCCAGGAGGGGCACGGACTCCCAACAGGGTTGATCAAACGTGTCTTCACCACGACACATGATAATCAAGCTTTCTTTAATTGAACATAGGGAAAAAAATCCTTAAATGTACATGTGAAAAAAATCAATTTACATATAAAGGAATGCCAGTTAAACTCACAGGAGACCTCTCACAGAAAACTCTACAGGCCAGAAAAGAATGGAGTGACATATTCCAGATTCTAAAAGCAAAAATTTGTCAGCCCAGGATAACATATCCAGCAAAGCTTTCTTTTGTCTTTGAAAATGAAGTAAAATTCTTCCACAGTAAAGAAAAGTTAAAAGAATTTGCCTCTTCCAATCCTGCCCTACAAATGATACTTAAAGATATTCTCTTGCCAGAGAAGAGGAATAGCACTCACCAAAACTAAAGGCAAATGGGAAGAACATCCCAGTAAAATAAGAACAAAAGACTAAATCAGTGAACAACCCATTCCTAGAATGACAGGACCAAAGTACCATCCATACATATTAACCCTGAATGTAAATGGCTTAAGCTCAATCAAACGTCATAGGTTAGTAGACTGGATTAAAAAACAAAGCCCATTTATTTATTGTCTGGAAGAGACACACTTCAACAAAAATCAGCGGAAACTATATCACATGGATTTTGATTTTTTTTTGTTGTTGCTGTTAGTTTCATCTCTTCAAAACACTTTCTTCTGATTAAATTCTTCAGTGACTCATAGATTATATATTGGCATCTTTTTCTTAAAGAAGATTCTTTATTTTCATTTACATTTATTCAGCAACACATTAGTCATTCAGTAGCATGTTATTTAACTTCATGATGTTGTTAATTTCTTTCTTTTTTCTTCCTGTTGTTTATTTGGTTTTGCGGCTTTTCATTTAAGGGGATGTATTATTACTGTGGAATGGAGACTGACATATCCAGATGTGAGGGTACAATGCAGTATGCATCTCTACTTCCAGACTAAAGATGGACTCCCAGTGAAACTGTTTATTATATGACAGTAGGATGATGGACTTTCTGCCATTGTTCATGCCCACAATAATGGACATGACTGTGTGTGAAAAACTCTACTTTAGTAATGATATAGGGGAACTTGGAGGGTGGGGAAATTAGGGAGGGATAAGGGAAATCCCAGGGACCTATGGAACTGTATCATAAAATGATGATGATAATAATAATAATAAATTTAAAAAATTTTTAAAAGAAGAGCTTTGTTTCATTAAATATGGTTGGTTCAGTAGCTTGATTCTGAGTTGTTTCCTTAGGATGTGCTCCTAGAAATGAAGCTGTTTGGGCAAAGGTTGTCCATTCTTGAAAGCTTTTTATAGATATGGCCAGATTGTTGCTTAGTATGAACTATCTATCTGTATGTTGTCATATGAGTGAAATGCTGCTTCAGTAACTGTAACAGTCTTCTGTGTTTTTCCTTTGCAGTGACATTTCAGGGGGCAAGCCCCTGGAAGTGGAGATGGCAGGCATAGAATACATGAACGACGATCCTGGCATGGTAGACGTTCTTTATGCCAAAGTGCATATGAAAGATGGCTCCAGCAGGTATGGTTCTGGAATGCTTCTTTGTTTTAGCTGAGAGGTGACAAAATCCATCTCTGGAAATTATTCTTACTTTATTTCTGGAAGTGAACAAGTAACCCTTAGATTTTATTGTCTTCATAATAAAACAGAAGGTGAAGCTTAGCCCTTCCTCTTTTTATCTCTTTCCAGTTAGAAATGTTTACTTCTCTTAACAGCTAGCATTCTTTTAAATCTACAGTAGGGCTCGACACTCAAACCTCAGTGCAGTGTTTTTCTAATTTTAAACTTTTTTTCTGGAAAATCAGCTTATTATGCCCATCATCACCGCTCTGCTTCCTGTCATAATGCTGCTTTCTCTGGCGTGCAGAGAATCTGCCCCCCTTCTTATATTGTGTCACATTGTGGGATTGCTGCTTGCCACACGTCTTATAGGCAGGATTTAGGAACATTAACCATCAACATGGAAAGCTCTCTTCATTTTGATTCCTTTTCTTTGGGACCTTACTGCTATAAAGAGAGCACTTCTTTAATGCTCACTTATCATTACTTTTTTTTTTCAAAAGATTTATTTTATTTTTATTACAAAGTCACATATACAATATTCACTCCCCAAGTGAGCACAACAGCCAGTGCTTTGCTGATCCAGAGCCAGGAGCCAGGAGCCAGAAACTTCCTCCAGGTCTCCCACACGGGTGCAGGGTCCCAAGGCTTTGGTCCATCCTCAAGTGCTTTTCCAGGCCACAAGCAGGGAGCTGGATGGGAAGTGGAGCTGCCGGGATTAGAACTGGCGCCCACATGGGATCCCAGCGTGTTCAACACAAGGACTTTAGTCGCTAGGCCACGGCACCAGGCCCATCATTACTTTTTAATAGTAAAAAATATCTTAAATGGACACATTTTTAGCTTAGTAACTATTGAATTGCTTGGATAGTAAATATTCTATTTTTTAAAATTCCTAAATTATTTTTTTTCCTTCATTTTGTTTGAAAGACAAGGAAAGAGAGAGCAAGAGAGACACAGAAATATTGATCTTCATCTGTTAGCTCACTTCCCAAATGCTTGCCACAACCTGGACTAGGTAATGCCAAAACTAATGGCCCAGAAATCCATCCAGTTCTGACATGAGTGATGGGAACCCAAGAACTTAAGCCATCATTTGCTAGCTCCAAGGAATGCATACTAGCAGGAAACTGGATCAGAGCAGAGGAGGCAGGATTCAAATCAGGCACTCTAGTATGGGTCGTAACATAACCACTATGCCAAATAACTACTTGTTGGATAGTAGGTATTGATAACAACTATCTAGTTTTTGTGGAACTCAGTTTTTCCTTTGTGTTTTCCAGGCTAATAAGTCAGGAAGGATGACATTTTTGAATGGGAGTCTCTAATGTGATATAATTCAGATATAATGAACCCTAAGGCAAATGGCAATAAGAACTTTAACAATTTAAGGAAATTAAATTAATTCACATAAAATGCTTGGAGCAGTACTTGGTATATGTTTGCTTCATCAAAACATCAAAAAAGTTACTGTATTTTTAATTGTTGCTATAACCATACCTATATGCCTCCTAGGAATCCTAAGTTTACAATTCTGCCTGTTTGTGAAATTGACTTAGGCACCCATAACCATTTCCAATATTAACGTTGTTTATTTATTGTCTCAGCTGCTTTGGTTGGGGGTGAGACCCTGCAGGTTAAGCTGCCACTTGTAACTAACAGCAATCCCTATTGGAGTGCAGGTGCTGGTTCAAGTCCTGGCTGCTCAGCTTGCCATCTAGCTTTCTGCTAATGTGCCTGGGAAGGCAGCAAAAGATGGCCCAGGTAAGACCAGATGAGTCCTAGCTGCAGCCTGATGCAGGCCTGGCTGATGTGGCCATTTGGAGATTAAACCAGCGATGGAAGATCTCTCTTTATCTCTCTCCCTCCCTCTCTTTGCTACTCTTCATTTTTTTTTTTTGTTTTGTTTTTAAAGATTTTTTATTTATTTTTATTACAAAGTCAGATATACAGAGAGGAGGAGATACAGAGAGGAAGATCTTCCGTCTGTTGATTCACTCCCCAAGTGAGCGCAACGGCCAGTTCTGCGCCGATCCGAAGCCGGGATCCAGGAACCTCTTCCAGGTCTCCTGCAGGGGTGCAGTGTCCCAAAGCCTTGGGCCATCCTTGACTGCTTTCCCAGGCCACAAGCAGGGAGCTGGATGGGAAGTGGAGCTGCTGGGATTAGAACCGGCGCCCATATGGGATCCTGGGGCGTTCAAGGCGAGGACTTTAGCTGCTAGGCCAGGCCACCGGGCCCTGCTACTCTTCTTTTCAAATAAATACATAGATAATAAATCTTTGTTTTTTTTAAGTGCTTTTGTGAGTAGAAAAGCCCAACTTAAGTGTGAGATCTCTTTAAATTCTTAGAAAGTGGCATAGTGCCCACATTTTGAATCAGAGTGCCTGGGTTCTAGTCTTGGCTCTGCTTCAGACTCTAGTTTCATCTTCATGTGCACCCTGGGAGGCAAATGGGTGCCTTGCACCAAGACAGGCCTGATGATTTTCTTCGGTCCAGTCAAATCTTGAATGTTGCAGGCATTTGGCGGAGTGAACCAGTGAATAAAAGATCTCTTGCTGAGAGTCTCTATGTCTCTCTGCTTAAGTAATTAATTTATTTGAAAGGCAGAGCTTGGGGGATGGGTAGGACAGGGGAGATAGAAAAAAAAAAAAAGAGATTCTCTCTACTGGTTCGCTTTCCAGATGTCCTTAACTGTCCGTCTGAGAGAGGCCAAAGCCAGGAGCCTGGAACTCCATCTGTTTCTCTTACCTGGTTTGTAGGAGCTCAAGCACTTGGGCCATCTTCCACGGCTTTCCTGGGCACATTAATAGGGAGCTGGATTGGAAGTGGAGCAGCTGGAATTCAAGCAAACATTCCAATGTGGGATGCTGGTGTGGAAGTGACAATTTAACCTAACTGTGCCACAATGCCAGCTTCTGTCTCTATGCCATTTAAAGTATATCCTTAAAAATATAGAAAATCCTGAAGAACTTTTGTGGGTTAAGTCTGTCAATATTTATATTATTAAAATTAAACTGAGCCATTTAATAATTGTTAATTTAAAAGTATGACCATACATTTATTTTTGGTTTATGTATCGTTAAAGAAAAATTACTGTATTTTCTAAACTGAAAAAATTTAGTGGCGGCAAAGACATGGTATTATCTTTTTGCAAATCTAATTTTGGGGGGAGATTTATTTATTTTTGCTTGACAGTCAAGAGTTAGAGAGAGAGAGAAAAAAAGATATCTTCCATCTATTGAATCACTCCCCAGATTGGATAAGCAGGAACTGGGACAGTCGAAAGCCAAGAGCCAAGAGATTCTTCCACCACTGCCATCCCAGGCCTTAAGCTGGGAACTAGATTGGAAAGTGGAGCAGCTGGAATTGGAACCAGTTCCCGTATGGAATGCTGATGCTGAAGGCTGATGGTTAGCCTGTTGTGCCGGCCCCGCAGATCTCTTTAATAGAAGACTTCTAATGGGTTCCCCTATGTGTTTCATTCAACCTTTGTGATAAGCTGTTTTGATTAAAGTGTGTAAGAAAATCTAGCTTCATACAGATAGGTCGTTGGAAAAGCGAGGAGTAGAGTATGTTTAATGACTTGACAGGTCTCTGTATACTCCTCTACACTTGGGATATCATAGTTTCTTTCTTTTTTTTTAAAAGATTTATTTATTTTTATTGGAAAGTTGGATATACAAAGAGGAGAGACAGAGAGGAAGATCTGCCGTCCTATGATTCATTCCCCAAGCGGCCGCAACAGCTGGAACTGAGTCAATCTGAAGCCAGGAGCTTCCTCTTCCAGGTCTCCCACGCGGGTGCATGGTCCCAAGGCTTTGGGTCATCCAAGGCTTTGGGTCATCCTCGACTGCTTTCCCAGGCCCCAAGCAGGGAGTTGGATGGGAAGCGGGCTGCCAGGGTTAGAACCGGGTCCCATATGGGATTCCAGTGCGTTCAAGGCAAGGACCTTAACCACTATGCTATCATGCTGGGCCCGATATCATAGTTTCTTAAAGATTAGTTGCCCTGGCGCTGGTGCCATGGCTCAACAGGCTAATCCTCTACCTATAGGCACTGATACCCTCCTTGTTATTTATGAAAGCAGCCTAGGATGGCCCAAATCTTTGGGCCCCTGCACCCATATGGGAGACCTGGAAGAAGCTCCTGGTTTCAGAGCAGCTCAGCTTTAGCCATTTGTGGAGTCATTTAGTAGATGTAAGATTCTTTGTCTCTCTTCCTCCCTATAAATCTGCCTTTCCAGTAAAGATAAATAAATCTTAAAGATTAATAGCAGTGAGAAATGGGAGACCCATCAACAAATATTTTGTACTATTACAGGAAAATTCACTGCTCTGTCTTGGGTTTGGGCTGACTCTTTATCTATGGACTTTGATAACCTTAGTCATTTAGAAGATGTGGGATAACTGAGTTCTACAACTCATTGTAGCAAGCCTTCTACCTAACAGTTCAGACATTATCTGGGATGGCCACATCCCATGTTAGTCCTGATTTTGAATTTCAGCTTCCTGCCAGTGTAGACTGTGGCAGGGAGGCAGGTGATGGCTGAGGTGATTGGGTCCCTGCCACTCATGTGGCACACCCAGATTGAGTCCTTGTCTCCTGGCCTCAGCCTGGTCCAGTCCTGACTGCAGGGAGCCTTTGGCAAGTGAACCAGCGGACTGGGGCCCTCTGTCTTGTCTCTTTCTCTTTGTCTGCTTTTCAAATAAATAAATTTGTAAAAATATGTTACTATCACCATCGATTTCATTAAAATCTTTTAGCTTTGGGAAGCTGTCAAGCTCATGGTGGTAGACGTTTGTTTTTTGTTTTTTTTTTTTGCAAGTCTAATTTTCACTTGAAAGCTCCTATTTTGTTACAGACAAAAAATACTGAATTATTTTCCTTGAAATTCTTTCTTCTTAAAAAATATCTGCCAAGTGGCCAAGTCTCAATAGCCATAATTTGTCTGTCAGTTGTTCTTTTAAGTAAAAATGTTTCATTCCTTGGACCAAGACTAGTTGTACACACTGTGCAGGCTGCTAAGAGGTGTCTTCATTTCCAGACAGCATCTGTCTAGGTACACAGAACAAGTGTGCTATACATGTGAAGCACAGAATAGTTAAAAATGTGTGTACATACACAGGGGCTGAGAATTAATAAAATGTATAATTTTTGTTGCTTCATCAAGAATAAATGAAACGGCCTTAACAAAAGCTTTAAATGTAAAGAAAAGAATATACAAGCAGTTTTACTTACCGTTGCTTTGGTGCCATCAGACAAATGTCAGGCCAGTGAAAAGGGCAAATAATGGGAACAGATGTTTGGCATGTCTGTTAAGACACACACATTCTACATTGAGGGTACCTGAATTCAGTTCTAGGCCGACTTCCAATCCCTGCTTCTTGCTAATGCGAACACTAGGGGGCAGCAGGGCTGACTCTAGTAATTGGCTTCCTGGCAACCACTTGGGTTCCCTGTATCCCAGCTCCTGGCTTCAGCCTGGTGCAGTCCCAGCTGGTAAATGGGAGCTCTCTGTTTTGTCTGTTTTTCTGCTCTTCAAATAAATAGCAGTAAGCACAAAACCCAAATAATTAAAAAACATTTTTAAACATATTTTTTTAAACATTTATTTATTTTTATTGGAAAGGCAGTTTCACAGAGAGGAGATACAGAGAGAAAGAGTATCTATCTTTTGGTTCACTCACTAAGTGGCTGCAACGGCCAAAGCTGAGCCAATCCGAAGCCAGGAGCCAGGAGCTTCCTCTGGGTCTCCAGTGTGGGTGCAGGATCCCAAGGCTTTGGACCATCCTCAGCTGCTTTCCCAGGCCACAAGCAAGGAGTGGGAAGCGGAACTGGAGCAGCTGGGATTAGAACCGGCACCCACATGGGATCTTGGTGTGTACAAGGCAAGGAATTTCAGCCATTAGGCTGTCACACTAGGCCCTTTAATTAATTAATTAATTTTTTATTTCCCCTTCCCCCGCCCCCCTCCAAATTCCCCTATATTATTACTGTAGCATAGCTCTTCATAAACAGTCACATGTTCATCATTGCAGGCATGGACAGTGGCAGAGTCCAGCCCCCCATTGTCAAGATACAGCTAATAGTTTCATTAGTAGTCCATCTTTGATCTAGAAGTAGAGATGCACACTGCACTGCATCCTCATATCTGGACATGATAGTCTTTCATTACACAGTCACCACACATCCCTCTTAAATGAAAAGCCACAGTACAAAATCAACAACAGGAAGAAAAATAGAAATTTACAGCACCATGAATTTCTCAAGAGGTTTTGATAGTTCAGCAGTCCCGAATTGTTGGCGAACCTGCCACTCCAATCATAATGAAATCTCTCCAGAATCCACTGGCTGCTATAGTCCACCTTAGTGCCTCCATCTGCCCAGATCTTCACTGCCAGTGATTGGCTGTCCTCCTTCCTCTGCCATGACACCAGGTGTCCTCTGGAGACTCCGATGTACTCCTACAGTCAGCCTATGGAACCTGCAGTTCTCTCCATGGTTAGGGTTCTGAATCCAGCAGTTCAGTTGTGTTACTGTGAGCCTTATAGAGCCTTATAGGGAGTGATATAGGCAGAGGCCCTATGTGTATCAGGCATCTTCCATGAGCTGTTTCAGGTACTCTGATACACCAGTGGAACAGACATGCTGGTTAAGACAGACCTGATAAGATCAGATACCAACAGAATTCAGTTAGGCACTCTTTGTAAGAGACACATTTATGGCATAATGTTAAAATCACAGAAAAGGAGAAGATCTTCTGACAAATACCAGAAGAAATTTGGTGTTTAAAAGTTATTATAAAACATGAAAAATGCATGGTTTCTGGTAGGCAATGCTATTACATGATGATTAAATATTCAGTTTACCAGGAATCCACATGAGTTCTAAACTCACGTGAACCTAATAGAACAGCTTCAATGCAGATTAGCAAAATTTGTATAATTTTTCATAAGGGAGGAATTGCAAAATCCATCATTATAGGAATTATAGTTTTTTTGTAGTTTAAAATCAATTAAAGATACAGAATTTTTAAATAAAGGATTTATTTATTTTTGTTGGAGGATTTAAAGAGATAAGGAGAGACAGAAAGAAAGATCCTCCATCTGCTGATTCACTCCCCAAGCGGTTGCAACATCCAAAGCTGAGCCAATCTGAAGCCAGGAGCCAGGAACTTCTGATCTCCCACATGGGTGCAGGGACCCAAGGTCTTGAGCCAACCTCAGGCAGAGAGCAGGATCAGAAGTGGAGCAGCTGGACCAGGCGAGGTAACCTAGTGGCTAAAGTTCTCATCTTACATGCACTGGGATCTCATATGGGTGCCAGTTCATATCCAGGCAACCTCACTTCCCATCTAGCTCCCTGCTTGTGACCTAGAAAAGCAGTTGAGGATGGCCCAAAACCTTGGGACCCTGAACTCATGAGGAAGACCCGGGAGAAGCTCCCTGCTCCTGGCTTCAGATCTGCTAAGATCCGGTCATTGCAGCCACTTGGGGAGTGAACCAGCGGATGGAGGTTCTTTGTCTCTCCTCCTTTCTGTATATCTGCCTTTCCAATAAAAATAAAATATTTTTTTAAAATCTCTTTTAAAATAGAGTAGCTACAACTTGAACCTGCACCCATATGGGTTGCTGGTGGCATTCGCAACAGCTTTACCTGTTAGGCCTCAGTGCCAGCCCCTACACTATGTCTTCTAATGACCAATGCAAGGAAGGCAGTGCACCATCATGCCCTCACCTCTCTCGTTTTTTCCTTGGCTTCTGTCACAGTTCTGTCTCCAGTGGATCAGAAAAATTGCCTTGACAGTGGTCTGTAGTTTGAAGAAGTAAGTGGCCACTTTGGACTGTTTTGTTACTTTAGTATTGTACGTGTTTGATCATTCATTTTTTCCCCTTTATGATTTGCTGTGAAGTTTTTCTTTTTTTTTTTGTGATCACATGCTTTGCTGCTTCCTCTCTGTCCCTGACATGGAAGAGGCTCACAGGGCTCTGTCTTGTTCTTGGCTTGTTCTGATTCCCTCTCCCCACTTTTGACTGTGTGTATCCCACATTGACAACCTCCAAGTCTGTTGTTTGGATTTTGCTCCTGAGCTCCCATCTCTCCCTCTCCCTGGACAGGTTCTGCTTGATATTCCATATCATGGGCAGCACATTGCACAGTATCCACTGTCTTCCCCAAACAGCACAACACCACAGTGAGGCATTACTTTTCTGTAACTTCCTCTAATCTTCACCACTGCTGTAATCTGAATGGCTACTAGCTTCTTTCTCATAGCTCTTTGAGTCCATTCTCACTGCCCCTGCTATAGTTCACATCTCTATCATTTCCCCTATGCAATGCAGTCTTTTAAGGCATATTAGGCTAAGCTTCCACCTACCGTGTTGGTATCCCATATGGGTGCCAGTTCAAGTCTCAGCTGCTCTACTTCTGTTCCAACTCCCTATTTGTGGCCTGGGAAAACAGCAGAGGATGGCTCAAGGCCTTTGACCCTTACAGCCAGTTCCCAGTTCCTGGCTCCTGACTTCCGAACATCTCTGCTCTATTGCAGCCATTTGGGAAGTGAACTGGCAGATGGAAGATCTCTGTCTGTCTCTATGTATGTGTCTCTTCTCTTTGTAACTCTGCCTTTCAAATAAGAATAAACTAAACTAAACTAAAAAAAAAAAAGCATGGACTGTGATTCTAATTTTGGCTCCACCATTCACTGGTTATGTGACATTGATTTTGTAGTTTCTCTGTTCCTTAGTTTCCTCATTAGTAAAACGGGGCTACAGCTTCGTGTAAGGCTTAAATGATGTAAGAGGTGTGACATGTACAACAGTGCTGACACATCATGGGTATTGTTATTTCCATCATTAAAATGGCTGCCTAGCTGATCTCTGCACTGTTGACTTTTCCTCTAAAGCATTCTCTATCCTGTATAGATTTCCAGTTTCAAAAACAGACATAGGCCCACAACATTCCCTTGAGAGTCTTTCTGTGGCTTCCTGTGGTCTGATTATTGCCTATGTTTCTCCCAATTGCAGCTACATTAAATAGTGGTTTTCATATGATGCTGATTTGTGCATGCTTTGGACACACTTCTTCTTCTACCTGAACAAGGTGTTCCTGTATCCTTTCTGCCTGAAGTACTCTGCCTTCCTTTGTTTTCTCTCTGAACCCTTCCGGACCCTTCTTGATCGTGTTTGACCCTCCTACAGATACCTGGCCCTGTCTACGGAGAGCCGACTGCTTCCTTAGCCCTCATCAGAATGGATGACAGTGGTTCATTTCCCCGTCTGTGTTCTCGGCAGGACAGAGAGCTCTGTCACGCTGAGGGCTGCAGCCTCTTCCCTCTTCCGGTTGAGTAGAACTTCGGACAGCTCAGTGTTTGTTGAGCAGACCTCACTGAACATTGCTGATCAGTAGCCGGTGGTTCAAGAGTTTACTAAGAGTTCTTCAATTTTCCCAGGCTGCAAGAGTTAGTCGATCGAGTGCTGGAACGTTTCCAGGCATCTGGACTCATGGTGAAAGAATGGAATAGTGTGAAACTGCATGCCACAGTCATGAATACCCTCTTCCGGAAAGATCCCAATGGTAAGTCCTGCTGACAGCTCCAGAACACAGCTGTGGGCAGTGAAGCTGGCTCTTCAAGGGCAGTGGAACAGCTAACAGTCTTGAATTATCTTCTCCTTTAGATTGGTTATTTTTTTTTAAGATTTTATTTTATTTTCATTAGAAAGTCAGATATACAGAGAGGAGGAGAGACAGAGAGGAAGATCTTCCATCAAATGATTCACTCCCCAAGTGAGCGCAACTCCGAAGCCAGGATCCAGGAATCCCCTCCAGGTCTCCCACATGGACGCAGAGTCCCAAGGCTTTGGGCCGTCCTCGACTGCCTTCCCAGGGCACAAGCAGGGAGCTGGATGGGAAGTGGAGCTGCCGGGATTAGAACCAGCGCACATATGGGATCCTGGCACATTCAGGGCGAGGACTTTAACCACTAGGCCACACCGCTGAGCCCTGGATTGGTTATGTTTGATAATAGAAGGAAGCAGGGCTACACCTAGCATGGGATTGTCACTTCTAGAACTAATTTATGTTATACGCAGTGTTACCAAATTTACTGAGTAAAACTATAGGATATCCAGATTAATTTTAGATGAACCATGAATTTTTTTTTTTTTTGCATTAGGTATATTCTATACAATTTTCGGTGACTTTAAAAGATTATTTTTGCTATTTTAATTTTATATATTTATGGGTGATAATATGATCATTTGATATGTGGTGGTGGTAATCAGATTATTTTTCCTATTTTAATTTTATATATTTATGGGTGATAATATCATTTGATATGTGGTGGTGCTAATCAGTGTTTCCATCTCTTTAACCATTTTTGATTAACCTAGTAAATATACATACTTACATGATACAATGTAAGGTTTCAATAAATGCACATAGTATGTATTGCTCAAGTCAGAATAATTTGTTTGCTTCTTACTATTACCACTTCATGTTTGGAGCCCTCCCATTCCTTCTTCTGTTTACTCATAATGTATGTAACACGTGATTGTGAGCTGTTCTGTGGAAAACTGGAACTGACTATTGTCTCACCTAGTCTCAGTGCTGTTACTTGCCTCCTCTCTGTCCCTCTTTCCCACCCTCTAGAAATCTTAGTGATTTAAAAAACAAAAAAAGATTCTCTTACTTTACTTGAAAGACAGAGTGAAACAGAGAGAGAGAGAGAGAGAGAGAGAGAGAGATTTTCCATCCCTTGTTCACTCCCTAAAAAGTCCTAATAGCCTGGACTAAGCCAGGCTGAAGGTAGGAGCCAGGAATTCCATCTGGGTTTCCCACATGGTTGTCAGAGACCCGAGTACTCAGGCCATCTTCTGCTCTTTTTTCCTAATTGATGAGCAGGGAACTGGATTGGAAGCAGAGAAGCTGGGATTCAAACTGGTGTTTACGGGATGCTGACCTTGTAGGTGGCAGCTTAACCTGTGATGCCACACTGCCGGCCCCCTCAGTGACTTATTTTTGTAAGCTTGTAGATGTTAGATTAGTGGTTCTCAATGGTGGGTGATTTTGGGCTCCCAAAGAACATTTGGGAGTTTTTGGAGACAGTTTTGGTTGCCACAGTTAGAAGATTGGCGGTCAGTTGCTACTGGCATTCAAGTGGAGGTCAAGTTCAGTGCTTGACAGTGTACAACACAACTCCCATAACAAAGAAAAGTTATCCAACCTAAAATATCAATAACACTTAAGTTGAGAAACCTCATGTTAATAATTTCTTTCCCTGTGATATTTTAGCTTTGATACAAAAATTAATATAGTTAATTATTAAAGGGTTTGAAACAATGCCTTGTTTTAATACTTCAGTTGGAATAATTATTTCAGGAGTAGGTATTTTGTATGGTGGTGGGTCACTGTTTGGGATGCCTGCATCTCCTATTAAAATGCCTGGTCCACTTCCGAGCTACTCCATTTCTGACCCAATTTCCTGCTAATGTGTATGCTAGGAGGCAGCTGATGTTAGCACTAATACTTAGGTGTCTGCCTCCTACACGGTAGGTTTGGGGTGAGTTCCAGACTCCTGACTTCAACCTTGGCTGTTGCAGGCTATTCAGGGAATGTACCAGCCGGTGGAAGATCTGCCTCTGTATCTCATTTCTCTCTCAGTTAATGAAACAAAAGCAAGAGCCGTAATTTCAATGGTTGTTGTTTTCTTCCCATTCCCACCTCTGTAGCAGAAGTCTCTCACCATCTGCAGAGCCACACATTCCAGGTGTGTGCAGCTTTCCCTTCCAAGAGCTGTCCTTTAAAACGTGCTAGAACCCAAACCCACAGTCACGTTTTGCTTCCTTTCTGAGGATGCTTACCTTGCTTTCGGAAGTCTAGGCTAGAAGAGGACTCTGTCAGGACTTGGACCCATCCACTATGTGTGGAATTTTACTTTGGGGTACTTAGCATGTCTGCTTTTGTCAAGGGATGTCTTTTTATTTCTCTCTGATATAAATCAAAGATCCTAACTGGAAATCATTTAATGTTAATTCCATTTAGTTAGAACCATGACAGAACCAAGATACAGGTGGTGATCTAGTTGGTAGTTCTGAAAGTGTTTTATGATGCCACAGTGAATTTTATTTCAAGCTTTTCTTAATAAATCACTGTTTTCCCTTTGAAAACACTGACATCAAAAGAGGTTCAGATGACTCGTCGAAGCTGCAGCCTCCTGTTTGTGAAGCTAATAGAATGCAGGACTTGGAGCCTGCTCCACTGGAACACGTTATTTTCACGCATACCTATGTGTTATAACACAGCTTGTCATGGGAAACGTAGGACTTATTGCACATGTGCTTCTCACCCTACAATGGGGTTATGTTCTGATAAGCTCATTGTAAGGTTGAAAAATATCATCAGTTGGAAATCCATTAAGTACATATTTTTAAATTCTGCAGTCATTTTTAACTTGGGAAGACACAGTGAGATCCTCTAAGATATATTAAACCTTTTGCTGTCTTTCCATGAAGGCAGAATTTCACAACTCTGGCATATACTCTGAGCTCTTTAATTCAGAAGGCATGTAATGCACCATCTAATAGAACTTTCTGGATTGATAGGAATATTTTCTATCCGTGGTCCAACATGGTAGCTGATAGTCCTGTGGTCATTGCACACCTGAAAAGTAGCTAGTGAGTACGTGCAAGTGACCTTGTATTTCCATTTAGTTTTAATTAATTTAAAATTTAAATAATTACCTATGGTTACTGTTTGGACAGTGTAATCCAGGTAGTATTTTATTAGACATTTAATAGCTATCGTTTGTACATTTTGCATTTGTCTTAGTGCTTAAATCAGTCTCCAGAATTCCTCAAATTATATGATGTTCCATTATTAACTGATTTCTCAACATAGAAGGGGCTTAAGTAGGTTATAATCATTATCTTCTAAATTGTGTGGATCCAGATTTATATTTAGTTAGCACTAAAGCTTCATCTAGGAATTGACCTGTATTCACAGTCTAGTTAATTTCTTCCTATCACTTAGAGATTTTTAAACATTTTAAACATTATAATATTCAAATGTGGTTGCCTCTTTAATTGACACTTACTATCCATTTCCTTTTTTTTTTTTTTCAAATATTTACTTCTACTCAAAAGAGCTACAGAGAGAGAGAGACAGAGACAGAGAGGCAAAGATACCTTCCGTCTGCTGGTTCACTTCACAGATGGCTCTAATGGTCAGCGCTGGGTTGGTCCCAAGCTGTTTACCAGGAGCTTCTTCTGGGTCTCCTATGTGGGTACACGTAGGATGTGAGCCATCCTCTACTGTTTTCCCAGGCCATAATCAGGGAGCTGGATCTGAAATGGAGCAACTGAGACATCAAACAGTGCCCATATGGGATGCTAGTGCCACAGAAGGTGGATTAGCCTTATATACCACCTTCCCCCCTCCATTTACTTCTCAAACTATGAATGGAATCGAAATCTTTGATGAAAGGTTACTTCTCATTACAGAAATAGTTCCAGTTACCCATGTGTAACTCCTGTGGGTTAGCTAGAATGTATTATGTTGGTGAAGTTGTTAGAACACAGGATATATTTTGACTGTTCTGACCTGGTACTCCCCATATATATGTAAGTAAAGGAATATATTTTAAGGGCATAGAATTAGGAAAAGTCATTGTTTCAGAAATGTAGTGAGAATTAGTGATTTTTGAGGATAGTTTGAATTTTCTGTACCCTATACTTTTCCCTAGGTTGAATTCACTTGAAAAGAAGATGAAATGTTTTGCTTTTCTTCCCTGTTTTCCTTTCCTTTGATATTCTTTCTCCTGCTATCCTTTAGGGACATGTTTTTGGGGTATGCAACTTAAATTAACTCCAGTAGCTGGAGCAGAGCTTTGTTAGGCTCAGGTGGTGGATCTGTTGCTTTCTTGTGTAGACAGTCTGTGTGAATACCTGCGATTCCTCCTGAAAGATTTCTTTGTTCTTTTGGGGAGTCCTTTAATCCATTAGCAGCTTTGACATGTTGGTGTGGGAACTTCGGTATTGTCACATATTCAAAATTGCACCCAGAATCTCTGGGGCATGTAGACCGAAAGGCACCTTTGGAGATCACTCAGTCCTTACCTCTAACTTTGTAAGAGACAAACAGGGGTTCAAGGAGGAGATGTAATTTGCCTAGGAATGTAGCTCATTACATAATTAATAAGCACTTACAGCAAGGACTTGGAGAAGTTGAGTGGTATGGGTCTATACTGAACGAGTTGATGACAGAGCTGACGTGATAAGCCAGGTCTCTTGCTTCTTGTTGTGATATTTCCTCCTCCATACACTCTCCAGGTAGTACATGACGATTTTACTGAATGCACCTGCGCACCTATAGAGATCTAAGAGTGTATAGTCAGATGCATAACTCATGCTTCTCTAACATTGTCTTTGGAATATTTACAGCTGAAGGCAGGTACAATGTACACACTCCGGACGGCAAGTATATCTTCAAGGAAAGAGAATCATTCGATGGCCGAAACATTTTGAAGGTCAGTATGAGTCAGAGTGAATCAGAAGGTGGTTGGCATGTGTGTTGAAGCAAAGGAAGTAAACAAGCTGTTCTCTTTTCAATCACAGAGTGGATTTTTCTCCCGCTTTTCCTGAGTATCGCTGATTGAAAGGCTTATTAAAAAATGTTTTTTGAAAATTCTGAAACGGAGATCCTCTTAACACTACTAGGGTAGTGGTACTTCCAGAGTACTTGAAATTGGTGATTTTACAAGTAAAGAATATCCTCACTAATTGGATTCATACGAACACGTTGATTGTAACCTGGTATTCAGAAGTTTGAGTTTGCATTTTTTTAAAGTGAGAAAGGATTGTTTATCTTACTCTAGATGATTTTTCCCTTCTCCCAGAAAAGTCCCTTTCTGAAGTAGCTTCATAATCTATTTTTACTCAGAAACAGCCCATATCCTAAGCAGCAGGTCCTCTGTTTCCGAGGCTTTGATTTTCTGAGTGTTTATCTGTAAAACAAATAGAAGGGGTTTCTCAGGATTTCAGTTACTTTCTCCCACAGACTGCCTTCCGTGATGTCTGTGACCTCTCTCTGTCAGGCTGACCTGCCATTGTTCCTCCAGTCAACCCCTGCCCCAGGCCAAGAGAGACAGAAGCTGTTACCAATGGAGAGGTTTTTGATTCTGCATTTCACTTGTTCTGTAATGATGAGGGAGTCAGATATTTTTGAGATGGTGGGTGGTGTTCAGAGGAGAGGCCACAGTGTGTGTGCAGGACTCAAAGCTGCTTCACCTTCAGAAAGGCTGTTTGTTTCTCTCCTCTGCCCCAGCCTCCATTCCCTCGCTTGGTGGTTTTCTGCCAAATGCCCAAGGTGACCCCATTTTGTGTAATTAATGACATCACTCTTGAGCAGCTGTGGGCTTCTCACTCAAAGCCCCGAAGCACAGCGACACCATTCAGCAGGCATCCCAGCATCCTCATTGCAGAGCTGGTTCCTTCCTTCCTGGGTACCTTTCCTTTTCCCCCTTTCTTCTTTCTTCATTCTGAGTAGTCCCCTTGTTTTTGAAGTAGTGCTGGGTTTGAGCAGCGGACTGCAAATCAGTTGAATGGTAGTTAACATTACTGTTTTGCCCAGGCTGCAGCTCCAGTGTGATGGGAGTCTGTGTGGAGAGATTCCAATAATCTAATCAATCACTTTACTTTTATTGTTGACTTGATTAAGAAAGAAAACAGACCAGGGGCCAGTGAGGTGGGATAACAAACTAAGTATCCGACTGCTGCACTGATATCCCATATGGGTGTCTGTCTGAGTTCTGGCTGCTTTACTGCCAATATAACTCCATGCTGATGCTCTTGGGAAAGCAGTTGGGGCTTGAATTAGCAGATAGAAGATCTCTCTGTCTTTCTCCCCCCAGTCCATGTAATTCTTTGAAATAAATACAACAACCCTTTTCTTTTTAAGATTTATTTTTATTACAAAGTCAGATATACAGAGAGGAGGAAAGACAGAGAGGAGGAAAGACAGAGAGGAATATCTTCCATCCAATGATTCACTCCCCAAGAGACTGCAACAGCCAGTGCTGTGCCGATCTGGAGCCAGGAGCCAGGAGGCAGGAACTTCCTCCAGGTCTCCCACATGGGTGCAGGGTCCCAAGGCTTTGGGCTGTCCTCAACTGCTTTCCCAGGGTACAAGCAGGGAGCTGGAGGGAAGTGGAGCTGCTGGGATTAGAACCAGCGTCCATATGGGATCCTGAGGCTTTCAAGGCAAGGACTTTAGCCCCAGGCCACCGCGCTGGGCCCAACAAACCTTTTTTTAAAAAAAGATTATTTATTTTTATTGGAAAGTGAGATATACAGAGAGGAGGAGAGACAGAGAGGAAGATCTGCTGTCTGCTGATTCACTCCTCAAGTGACTGCAACAGCCGGAGCTAAGTTCCAAAGCCAGGAGCTAGGAGCCTCCTCTGGGTATCCCATGTGGGTGCAGGGTCCCAAGGCTTTGGGTCATCCTCGACTACTTTCCCAGGCCACAAGTAGGGAGTTGGATGGAAAGCAGGGCCTCTGGGATTAGAACCGGTGTCCATATGGGATCCCAGCGCATTCAAGGCAAATACTTTAACCGCTAAGCTACCGCACTGGGCCCTACAATAAACCCTTAAAAAGCAAAGGATGGGGACTAGTGCTGTGGCATAATAGACTAAAGCTGAGCCTGGAGCACCAGCATCCCACATGGGTGTCAGTTCATGTCCCAGCTGCTTCATTTCTGATATAGCTCTCTACATATAACGTGGGAAAGCAGAGAAACATGGTCCATATCCTCAGGCCCCTGCACTTGTGGGAGACCTGGAGGAGCTTCCTGGCTCCTGCCTGCAGACCAGACCAGCTCTGGTCATTGTGACTATTTGTGGAGTGAACCAGCAAATGAAAGAGCACATTCTTTCTCTCTCTCTGTCCCTCCTTTTTTTGTCCCTCTGTAACTCTCCTTTCCAATAAAAATAAATCTTAAAAAAGAAAAACAAGAGAGAGAGAAAAAAATAGGCCAAATGGGGAAAGAAATCTTTAGAAGTGGCTCATAGCCAGTTTAATTCTCATAGACTGAAAATGACAACCCAGACTGTGTTGATGCAAGTCAAATGTGCAGAACATCTGCAGGTGGCCACGTGGACAACAGACCCCTCATGTGATTCTGAGTTGTCCCATCCTGGAATGCCAGTTATTGCTACGGAGATGCTGCTCCTGGAAATCTCATCCGCCCCCAATGATCACATGGTTGTAGCTCCCTCTAGTGTTGACAGGGGTTTGCTATATGCATAGTACCCAATCAGCTCAGCTAGCTACTTGGAGCCCGTTTAGTAACTCCTGAATCTCTGATACAAGGCCCACTGTGCTTCAAGTGACTTGCCACATGTACCTCTGGTTGACAGCACAGTTTGAATCAGAGCAAAAACACTGTAAGTTTGAGGTGGACGTTGTGGCGCAGTGGGCTAAGCTGCTGTTTGTGATGCCTGCAAGGCCAATCAGAGAGCCTGGGATCATGTCCTACCTCTGCTTTCAGTCCATCCTCCTCATCCAGATGGTGCTCCTGGCTCCTGACATAGTGCTAACCCAGATCTGGTTGTTGGGGACCTTTGAGAAGTGAACCAGCAGGTGGGAGCTCTCTTGCTTTCTCTGTCTCTGCTTCTCTCTCTCTTTTTTTTTTTTTTTGTCATTCTGTCTTTGCAGTAAATAAGTAAACAACTCTTAAAAAAGCCCACCAGTGGATATATGTATAGTTACATACATAAATATAATTGTGATTTTTGTACCAAATGAATGTATGTTTAGAATGAAAAAATTAGTTTCACGAAGAAGCTGGGCAATGAATTGAAGCAAACAGAAAGGTTAAAACTGCATTGGTTGTGAAGGAGTCAAGCATATGTGTGCAGCATATTAATAGCTACACAGGCCAAGGATCAGGAGTGCTGGTGAGAGGAGGCAGCCTTGTGGGGAAAAAAAAGCTCAGCTTCATCTCCTATTCAAAGAAGGAAAAAAAAAAAAGAGAGGGAGAAAGTCATTGCTCATTCCTGTAAGAATTTAATGAGTAACAGCCAATTTCTATTCTACTCCTCAAAGAGAATTGGTCCTTTTCACTTGGTCTAATCTTATGTGTTCTGGATGCCTTAATAAGAAAACCATCTCTAATGACTTTTTGAGGTGGAAGCCACATTTTTCTTTTGTACAACTCTTCTGAGAGCTGTTGCAGCTATAATAGACTAGTGTCTGATTATCCCTAGTTAAAACAAGAATTTTTTCTTTCTATAAGAATGACTTTGATGAAAGAACTGAGACACATTTTTCTATATTATTCAAGCCAGAAAAGGAGCAGACATATTTAGTTATGGTGTGAGTCTTTTGGTGCACAACTGTAGCTTTGGTAAGTAGATACAATGAAGAAGATGAAGGTGGCGGCCCCCTCCCCCGCCCAGATGGTTTCCATTTCTACCTAAGAATAGCCTCAAAAGAGAGTTTGTACAGCCACAGTTACTTGGTATACTTGTGCTTGGGGAACCCTGTTGATACGAACCTATCCTTCCAAGAAGTACCTGGATCCTCACTATCATGGTGTGGAATGCTTGTTAACCACCAACCTATGAAGACAGAAGCAATGTCAGGGAGGGAGGGAGACCTGTGGAATGCCCTCCAACGATAGAGTCCATGTTTGCAGACTGCTCTCAGCAAATCGGACAGGGCTACAGTGTTCACCGCTCTAAGGCAAAGGCATCAGGGGCCTCCTTAGGGTGGTGCTCCCCAGAGCTGAGTGGAACTAATACAGTGGAGAGCACTGAAAGGTCTGAAAGGACAGGCTACATTTGCCTTCCTTTATTTATTTCTTTTTAAAGATTTATTTGTTTTCATTGGAAAGATGTATCAGGTTTATGGAGAGAAGGAAAGACAGAGAGCAATATCTGCCATCCGCTGGCTTACTCCCCAAATTGCTGCAAAGGCCAGAACTAAGCTGATCCAAATCCAGGAGCATCTTCCAAATCTCCCACACAGGTGCAGGGTCCCAAGGCTTTGGGCCATCCGCTATGCTTTCCTAGCCACAAGCAGGGAGTTGGATGGGAAGTAGAACAGCCAGGACGTGAACCAATACCTGTGTGGGATCCCTGCATGTTCAAGGTGAGGATTTTTGTTTTAGCCATTAAGCCATTGCACCAGGCCCTGTGCCTTCCCTTAGATGCTTAAAATATTCCAGAAAATATTAGCCAAATGGGAGATGACTTTACCTTTTCTACTTCATGTGTAAGAATTTTTAAAAATTTTGAATATTTCTTTGGGAAACAGCATAGTGTACTTCTGTTCAGTTAAGAAACATTTTTATGGCCCAGGGTTTTTTTTCATTTTTTTTTTTATTTTACTCTTATGATGTGAGTTTACAGTGACTAGGTTCTAGCATTTGCTTCTGACAAAGTAGGCTTCTCTGGGTGGAGCAGGTTGGCATTTCAGCTTAATCCAGTGAGCTTTCTGTTGGGCTGCTTTATCTTACTGATCATTT